TTTTTTGGTTGGGTTGGGTGGGGGGGGGGGGGGGGGGGGGTTATTATGCAGTGGATTGACAACTTTGTCAGGGATTATGTGTCAATGTTGGCCTTATATGACTTGGCAGTGGAACGTGGCTACCAAAAAGTGACACTAAGTTCTTTTATAAGAGGAAAAGAAAGGGTTGGGTTCCAATTGTAGTTGATAAAAATTATCTTGAGTATGGTAACAACCATATAAAGCATGTGGTTGTCATTTACTTGATTGATACAACACAACAACCAGAGGGTTTAGGCAGTGAAGCATCTAAAAATGAGCATTTACAGGCAAAAACTACTGAGGAACAAGAAGGTGAGAGAAATGCTAATTTGTTTGGGGATTTTGGGCATGGAGATGCTGATATGTTTAGGGATTTTAGAGACGTACATGTAGATCTGACTGGTGATAGCAATTTTGACAAGTTTATGGATGTTAATATAGTTGATGAGGGTACGAAGGGGATAATGGTGAGGAGTTTGATGTTGAAGTGTAGAACACTGCATATGTTTCTAGTGGTGATGAATTTGAAGATGAATTGGAGGATGATGAAGATGTGGCTGAGGAAGTCAGTGGTGATGATGTGGAAGATGAAGAGTTTAGAGAAATTGACTTCGAGCAAAGTGAAGAAGATGACAACAAGTTTGAGAGATTTGTTATAATTGAAGATCTTGATGAAGACCAACATAAGGAACTAAGGGAAGAGCTAACTAATGAGTATGATACATATGACCTTAGAAATGTATATGGAGAAGACAATGATGAAGTTCCTGAAGTGAGAGGCAATACTAGAAGGAGAGCTCCAAAATTCAAGCAATATAATATGGATTATGACTTGAGAGAGCCCAAATTTACTTTGGGGTTTGAATTTTCAACCATGAAAGAGTGCAAAGAAGCTATGAGGTATTATGCAACTAGATGTGCTAGACTTTTGAGATTTTTGAAGAATGAACCTCATAGGTTAAGAGTCAAATGTGAAGGTGAAAGTGAAGATGATGCTTGTCCTTTGATGTTTTATGCTTCACATATTGGTGGAGGTCCTACTGTTAGGGTGAAGACATTGGTGCCTAATCACACTTGTGGCAGAGTGGAAACAAGTAGATTTGCAACCTCAAGTTGGCAAGCTACAAGATTTGAAGAAGATCTTAGAACTAATCCTAAGATGATAGTCACAGATTTCATGACAATATTGGTGAGGAAGAATTACAGTGTTGATGTGACTAAAGATCATGTGTATAAATGCAAGCAAATGTTGGTTGAAAAGATACAAGGACTATTGAGGAACAATATGCAAAGCTTTGGGACTACAGTAAGAAGTTTAAAAGGTAAAATTTAGGTAGCACAATCCTAATTAAGACAGGATTGAGGGGTGATGATCCAATTTTTGAGAGGATGTTTGTCTGTTTTAATGCTTGTAGGAAGGGATTTCTAGAAGGGTGTAGGACTATAGTTTGATTTGATGGTTGTTTTATTAAAGGACCTCATCCAAGTCAACTTTTGAGTGCTATAGAAATTGATGCTAATAATGGCATGTTCCCAATAGCCTATGGGGTGGTGAAGATTGAGAACACAGAGACATGAGCTTAGTTTTTAGAGATCTTATGTAGTTTGTGAATGGAAATGGTTGGGTTTTCATCATAAACAAGCAAAAGGGGCTAGGAAAAGCAATAGAGAATTTAATGCCAGCTTCAAAGCACAGGCATTGTGTGAGGCACATGCATAATAATTTCAAATTAGCTGGTTACAAAAGTTTGGGGCTAAAGCAAAAGTTATGGGCTGCAGCTAGTGTCACAACCATTCCGTGGTGGGATGCA